CTCTCGGCACTACTCTCGCATGGAAGAGAGCTATGGTCGAGAAATCCTCGACCGTTATTCACACTGAGCAGAAGTGTGAGAATTGTAATTGCACAGAATTGCAGGCATTCGCCTTCAGACGCCACTTATCAGCCATTGCCAGTTATTATCAAATTCGATCACCATTGTATCCACTCAATCACCTATATTACGTGTAAGAAACAATACTGCACTACTAAAGGCTAACATTTCAACTGCTAAGTGCGCTCTCAGAGCAGAAATATTCAGTTTCTGCCCCTCCTCGTCACCTCTTATCTTTTGATGTCATATTCTGTCCCCTTCATTGAGTTCCCGTTCGACCCTCTGTACCTGTAGCAATCAACGTCCACTGTCACCGCAAAACACAACCATTCATATGTATGCGTCCCAGTACAACCCCTCACATCAATTCTAACAATAACAACCAACGCCTCTAACAACTCTAACGCTCTGTTATGTATGTGTTTCAGTGCTTTATATGGAGAATATATATTACTAGGATAATATATATTACTATTTTTAGGACTCGATCATTTCACTGTTGTGTTTCTGTATTCTATCAATTCTGGCAGTGGACGTTACTTTTGGATGTTCTCTAAGAACTAAAACTACAGCAGGTATGTTTGAATGATAAGAACAATTTATTAGTACGGTTGGCTAGTTTCACCGTAACTACGTTGCCCTGGAAACTTCACTGAAACTTTCCTACGGGGGTGATCGATGGTTCTCATCACGAATATGATATCCGGCGCCAGGTGGCGCTACGACTGATTCTCCCCAAGTCACTGTAACTTTGTGCCAAAACAGAACACATATAAGCTGGAACAGAGCTCCGCCCCAGTGGGAGAGGAGGCAAAGTGGACGATGCCGACGGCAAAGGTTCTCGCCCGGAGATCGGAAAAAAAGGTGTGCACTGACTTGATAAGTCGAATAGGGGAAGTCGCTCGCAGTGGGTGGGGGAGGGGGAGGGGCGTTCCCCAAATGTGCGGTAGAAAAAAGGCTATGCAGCAGGAAAAATGGGTGTAGGAGAGTAATGCTCAAAGTGTACCCAGCATGCTGAACTAAGTGGAAGCTCGCCCCAGTGGACAGTATCTATTGCAAACCCTCATAATTCGATTTAGGAAACAGAACTGGAAAAACAAGTGAGTAGAGGTTGGCGAAGGAAGATAGATCATATGCTATTGGTGGGTGATGGGAACGTCTGAATTGGTGGGATGCCGAGATACAGTATAAGCGCTTCGTCTGTCGTCTGTCTGTCTGTGTGTCTGTCACGAAATTCGGTATCAAGCGAACAACAACCTACAGGGTCCAGGTCAAGTTTGGGATGGGTATACCATATCCCTAGAAGTAAAAAACACACATCAGCCAAGCGGAGCCCCGCCCACAGTGGGCGTGGCGTGCATCGGTTGATTTCAAATTCAGTCACAAAACAGCCTCGAGACCGGGACAAAAGTGGGCATAGGTGTGGGTTGGTAAGCCAGATCGAACTGAGGAGACCCACCCTCGGTGGGCGGGGCGTTCTCTAGAAAATGGGTGCTCAGTGAAAATATTCATAACTCGGTTAAGAGGAAGCCTACAGACCAGGAACGAAATTAGTGCAGGGGAGCAATGCCTAAGGTATTTCCACCACGCATGATGTGAACGGAGGCCCGCCCACAATGGGCGGAGCGTGTCGTGAAGCGGACAGCATTTTCTACAAGAGCTCATAAATCGGCTCCGAGATGACTTAGAGACCGGAAAACAACGGATAGAGGTCAGGAGGGGAGGGGAAGCTAAATGTCAGGGAATGGGTGGCTTACATCAAAGTGGGCGGAGTTTGCAATTAGGCTTATAACTCGGTTCCTAGGAGTCCCGGAGTCCGGGAAAAAAGCGTATGAGGGTTGGCAGAGGGAAAGGGGTCAACCGTTGTTGGCGGGCGGAGCATGCACCAAAGTGGGCGGGGTTTGCCACGGTACTTCATAACTCGGTTCCAATAAGTTCCAGAGATGGGAGAAAAGTAGAAAAAGGTTGGGGAAGAGATGATAGCCGACTGATATCAGTGGGCGACCCACGCACCAAAGTGGGCGGGGTTTGCCACAAAGATACGTAGCTCGATTTCGTCCCCTACAAGACCTCATAATTCTGCTCCGAGACGACTTAGAGACCTGAAAAAAAATATGCCAGAGGTGAAAGTAGGAGTAGAGGTTGAATGTGAACGCTGGGCGTGGCACACCCGGATGTGGGCGGAGTTTGCCACCGCTCTCATAACTCGGTTCCTAGAAGTTCCGGCGACCGGGGAAAATGTGCATAAGTATTGAGGTATGGAGTAGGGTTGAATGCCATTGTTGGGCTAAGCATGCACCAAAGTGGGCGGGGTCTGCCTCAGAAATTCGTGACTCATAACGCCATTTACAAGACCTCATAATTCGGCTCCGAGATGACTTAGAGACCTGAAAAAAATACGCCAGAGGTGAAAGTAGGAGTAGAGGTTGAATGTGAACGCTGGGCGTGGCACACCCGGATGTGGGCGGAGTTTGCCACCGCTCTCATAACTCGGTTCCTAGAAGTTCCGGCGACCGGGGAAAATGTGCATAAGTATTGAGGTATGGAGTAGGGTTGAATGCCATTGTTGGGCTAAGCATGCACCAAAGTGGGCGGGGTCTGCCTCAGAAATTCGTGACTCATAACGCCATTTACAAGACCTCATAATTCGGCTCCGAGATGACTTAGAGACCTGAAAAAAATACGCCAGAGGTGAAAGTAGGAGTAGAGGTTGAATGTGAACGCTGGGCGTGGCACACCCGGATGTGGGCGGAGTTTGCGGCGTAAGTAAGATGTACCGAGCAGAAAGCTAAAATCAAGACAAAAATACTGATGGGCCCGATTTTACCGCTGCAGCCCCGTCTCATGCACGCGAATGCGTGCGCAGCCAAACTGGTATATATAATTCGCTTCGAGATTACTCGTGTAGCAAACGCTGGCGGGAAAAGGGGGATATGGTAACCGAAGGGGGTTAGGTCAATCTTAAGATGGGCCTGCCTAGCTGGAAGAGGCGAGTATGCAACGAGACATTGGTTTACTCGGCCAGACTGCCCAGATGTAGAGCGAAGTCAAGTGCCATAAGAGGGGGTGGAGGCTTGCCACGTCAACTGGGGGCGGAGTCTGCCACAAAATCTTAGCACTCGGTCCAGAGGGAGCCCTGAAATCAGGGAAGAAGTGGGTATGGGCTTGCAAAGAAGGAGAGCTAAAGTGCTTCTGGCAAACAAATAACAAGCCGAAATACCTCATAGATTACCCACATTTGGATGTAAATAATTTATTAAGTAAATAAGTGAACATACACAAAAACCTACAGAGGAATTTTTTCCTCTTATTTTTTTATAGAGCGCATCAACAAAAATCTACCCCTGCATGTAACATTAGTTGATTTTATGTGTGTATTGTTTAGAGACTGAAGCTTCACATTTAAGAAAGCGGAAAAAACTGTTACCGGGGCGAAAGATCTCATCTGATACGAAAAGCAGAGAGTCTGCAGAACGATCAAAGGAATCAATGGAACGATCAAAGGAATCACTAGATCGATCAAAGGAATCAATAGATCGATCAAAGGAATCAGTGGATCGATCAAAGGAATCAATTGGTAGGACTGCAGTAAGGAGGATTAAAAGCGAGGACGGCCGTCGAAATAATAAACCGGATTCTACTGTTCAAGTAAGAAAGAAAGGCAGCAAGAGGGAAGCCGACAACGAAGTAAGAGCATTATACCAATAAGGAAACATAACCTTCATGATCCGGCTTATAACTGTAGGAAATATCGTAGCGTATACATGCAGCTAGCATAGGCTCAATTCATTTACCACTGTCGTTCATCATGAGATCTTAAAGGCAGATGGCGCGATAAATTGTGTGTTGAAGAAAGGCAGATGTACCTACTATGAGGGAATTCATGCCTTCTGACAAACAAAATGTAGCGCTTTGGCGAGCGAGGGTACGCCTGTAGTGGCTTTTCAATGCTTTTCTAACTCCTGTTCACACATCTTGCCAATGCAAGCCCACCGAATGGCCGCCCCGGTTTTAGCTCTCTTACCCTAACCGTGAGAGCAGGAAGTGCAGAAGGGCGTTCGCGATAACGACGTCAGCACCAATGTGACTCGCCTACATCGGAAGTCAACAGGATAGCAATTCCGTGTGCGGGTTTCAGCTCCTTTCCTTTAGTTTTTCCCTCACTGCTATGCCTCTTAGCAGCTCCACCATCACTCCTATAAGGCGACCAATTTAGTACGCCACGCATTCTGCTTTCATTCATAATTGTACCTGCCTTGGAATGCTGGTCTGACATGCGGCATGGGCTGAAGTGCTGACAAAACACAATCACTTGCTGGAGCTAGCCTGCAAAAGTCGGTGTTTTTGTCGTCTCAATTCTGGCACCAACCCAGAGGGATGGGAAGAGAGCTTGAGCGAGATTCGATCCTAGCTTGGTTCCCGGACCGTGAGCATGGTAATTAACACCATTAGCCGTTACACCACCTTCCCCCTTATCATTGTCTTTATTCTGCCCTTTTCAGACTGGTGGAGATGGTTTATACGAAGATGTGGTCATCAATGACGGCAACGACTCAGTATTCATTCCACAGTTTAAGTGATCAGATTTTCACGTATCAAAGCAATTATTGAGACTAACGGTGTATCTTGTATTAACTTAATAAACAATTGCGCAGGGGATGTTATAAATGTTCATGTAATGTCCAAAAAACGGCAAATTTGTGTTACCGTACGGTTAGAAAACAAAATCGTGCAAACCTAAAATGGTCCAACTCTGAGAAGAAGAACCGCAACACAAGTATTGCAAGAGGCTGGAACTGACGTCCAGAAAGTGGCCGCGACACTACGACCTCCCATCGAACGGAGGTCTTTATATGACCCCTCTGCTCCTTATCAATCGGGTTGTTGAACCTGATTTCACCTGACACACTCCAACATCGCCTCCAGAACTCCAAAATTGGGTGATGGAGGAGAGAGGGGGACAGAGGAGGGGAAGGATGGGAGGAAAGGTATTTGCCCACTCTAAATCCATCTACGACTTCTCTTTTTACGATCGCCCCGCCCTTCAAGCGAAATACGATAAAACCATTCATGTCGTGGTTCGGGAGCGGTCGCCCTCCTAACCCTCCAAACACGACGCATCGAGGTGGTTCGGGGCCCTCCCGGCCTTTCCCAGGCACACGTCATCCTACGGGTCCTTCCCGGGGACCATGCGGTTTCCCTCCTGCATGGCCTCCGCTCACCGGGGCATCACGGGATTTCAGTGAGGGGGCTTTGAGATAGCAACCAGCAACGTTGACCCCGGCTTTCCCAGCGCAGGGGCCGAAGGCTTCCTTGCCCCGGGTACAACCCCGCACTAATAAAAGCACAGAAAATATATCTGCGTCTTGATCGGGCCGCAGCTCTGGGTGGGCCCACTATACTAAACCCCAACACAATACCTACACATTTGATATACTCACGTTTATAGGCGTGTATTGGCAGCAATAACATCGACGTCTGCACCGTCATCTTCTGCGGAGCTTGAAGATGAAGAGCCGACGCGCCGTCGTCCCATAGCCGCGTCTCATCAGAGGTACCCTGCAGCCGACATCGCCGACGGTTTTAGCAACGGGCTGGGATAACTAGCGCTCAACCGGGCTTGAGTAGCCATGCCGCACATTACGCGAGTGTCCAGTTGCACTCCGAAGAAGTGCCGGCTCTCTCGGGGTTGCTTGGGACCATCACCTACCTCCGGAGGTCGAGCGACTACGCCCGATTCGGCAAAAGGCGACTAGTGTCGGTAGTCTCGGTTGGAGGTGGGACTGGAGGGAGAGCATGCCCCGAGCGTGCGGCGCGTCAAAACCATCAGTTGCGTACCACAATGACCTCCAGTTACCGAGGTAAGCGCAATCGTCCTGTCCAGGAATCCCTAACCCATGTTTGCGCTTGTTGATGTGAATTCCCTTACTGAACTGCTACTCAATTTCGGCCGTAACAACCCTCCTCTTCGGACTTCACATCTGACGATCGCGTCGATTCGTCACTAACCACCTGCTGACCTTAATCATACGTAAGTGTCAGCGGTCGATCCAAATCGCTCCTCAGAAACTCCTTTGTAAAACGTGGAGCTGCCAACAGGGGATCTGATGGGGCGGCTATTGGCTGCTAATATTGTTCAGAATTTACGCTGCTATGTTGTTTTTCTACCCATCCCACATCACTGCAAAGCAGTGCACGTACGATGCAGTCGTGGCTGTTGGAAATGGAGGCCGAGGCAGGGTCAACCGTCCGTTGGACAAACTACGACGGGGGAGGGGGGTCGGACCCGTCCAACGAAAAGGGGGTCCTGAAATCTTGAATTTTGTGAAACGTGACGGTTGCCCCTAGGCCGGGTGATAGGGTCAGTGGTGAACAAAAACCAATGAAAATGACGTAACACTAGCAGAGTGGAACCTCCATTATACTTGCTCATTTCCACTTAAGACTGACAGACGTTAGATAGGCAAACAGAAGGTATGACTGCCTGAAATGAATTGCTCTCTTGGAATGAAATTTGTCGGGATGAGCGCCCAATCTCTGACTACCAGGGCCCCAAAACGCGCTACATTTCTTCCGTCAGGGGTCTAGCCTCTCTTAACAGTAGGCATATTCCACTTCTTCAACATCTTGGTTATACACCAAGATGTTGAAGAAGAATATATAAACATATGAATATATAAACAGAATATATAAACAAAATAAATAACTAAACACTATCACCTGCCTTACCATTTCCAAAACGATTCCCCTTGCCCATGAAGGCAAATACGACCCCTGTTGAAGCAGCCCCAGCCCGTGGCTCACCCTGATTGCAACAGCTTTTCCAGCGCGCATTCAGCTTATAAAATGCTTCGCGCTGGCGCGTCTATAGTGTTTCCATCTAATTGTTTTGCAGAAGGGAGCGATATTTTTCATATCGGAATTATCCGCGGAGATCAGCATTTTCCATTTATCACGTAGCAATCCAGAAACAATGATTTCCGATGAAATATCGCGTTTCAAGTTCCCTTGCAAGTTCGAGAGCATTGCGCGGTTTCCATCGAGACGTGCTAGTCACAAAGCTATCAATATCGATAGCCGGCTGTACGGCAACGTCCAAATCGTGTCATGGCTATGCCACCTGATCAACATCTTCTTTACTTTGTACTCTTCTACCTATCTGTTCTCTCTCACAATCTACTCCCAACTCTTTGAAGTTACTCTCAGACTGAATGGGCACGGTGTTCTGTGTTTCGTTCCCTCTATTATTGAGGCGAGAGGATTTTAGACTCCGAACAGTTCTACTCGCAGGACAGTCATTTTATTTATCTACTCTCAACAGAAAAACGTTGCACTATGCTTTGCGATTGAGGGCTGTCGCAATTACAAACACGGGTTTATTTTTAACTTCTCGATTAGTTTTCCCTTGGAAATCGCTTCATTTGTTTATTCTATATACCAGTTTAGCTCCGCCCGCTACCGCGCGCATGACACGGAAGCCTCTGACAAAACTGACAATCGGTGAAGCTTTGGGTTTCACCGCTTAACTATAGCTGCTTCGTTAAATGCATTACTGTCCGTTGCCCATCTTGGCTGTATCTCACTGTTTGATAAGCGCAGTGAAGTGCACAGCTAAAGTGATGATGTAAACAACCACTATGCGTCGAGTATCGAGGTAATTTAGCGGTCGAATATCTCAAAACGGAATGCCCAGTATTCATTATCATATTTATTCGAGCATCCCATTCATCCTCAAGAACTCTAGAAGGTGTAGCGGTCGAAAGGTGTTTGAATTTACAATTATAACGCTAATGAAATGATATTGAAATGAAATGCATTATCTGCAATCTGGTTTCGAGTAATCTCTACGTTCGTACGCATATCGTAATTATCAGTCCTCATCTGTCGTTATCACTTTTTGACCCCCACAAAATATGTTACCGTCCCACCCCCATATCATGTCCCAAAATCAGCTCCTGACGACTGCTGCGAAGCGCACTATGAATTTCGTGAAATTTGTGTTTCAGCGCCTCTTATCTGCTCTTATCAGTCGTTATCACTTTGTGACCCCCACCAAATATGTTCCCCACCCCCTATATCATATCTTGAAACCAACTCCTGACGACCACTGGTGCCCGAGCTATGAATTTCGCGACACTTGCGTTCTAGCGCCTTTTATCAGCCCTTATCAGTTGTGATCACTTTCTTTACCCCACCAAATATGTTCCCGTCCCACCCCTATATCATATCTTGAAACCAACTCCTGACGACCACTGGTGCCCGAGCTATGAATTTCGCGACACTTGCGTTCTAGCGCCTTTTATCAGCCCTTATCAGTTGTGATCACTTTCTTTACCCCACCAAATATGTTCCCGTCCCACCCCCTATATCATATCTTGAAACCAACTCCTGACGACCACTGGTGCCCGAGCTATGAATTTCCGGTCAGACAGACAAACACATACACACACACACACACACACACACAACCGCTTAGCCGATTATATATAGTAGGATAATTGCTACGTTAACTTAGTCTAATGTATGCATCAAGAAGCACTTATGACGATTTATTATTGATTTATTAAGACTATCACCACGTGTTAACTCCAATCTCATACGTTGGTCCGGCCTCGGGAAGCTGTGTACATATGTGATCTTGTTTTGGGAGGACTCGCGAAAGTTGATTTGTTATATTTCATTTTCGGATTTAAAGACATGCCCCAGGATCGAATTGGTGAGGTTCTTGCACACGAGTCTGAACATATTGGGGCAAAATGGGCCAGCAGTGAAGGGAAAAGGGAAGGAATTCGTCGAAAACGCTAAACTTGAGGGCCTACTCACCTTCGCAATATGTTGTGCTAAGCCAATGAGAGACTAAGCGCAGAGTAGAATGTGAGAGAGCACAGCAGAAGAAAGGACGCCAGACATTAGCTCATTTAAGGCATGCCCCAGGATCACATTGGTGTGTACACGAATGCGAATGTATTGGTGCGAAGTGGGCCGGCAGTAAAGAAAAAGGAAAAGAATCCGTCAAAAACGCTTAGGTTAAGGGCTCACTCACCTTCCTAATCGGCTGTGCTAAGGGAATGAGAGACTAAGCGCGAGGAGAGTATGGGCGAGAGAGCGCTACAGATGAGAGATCGACAACAGCCTGATAAGAGAAAAAAAGTCTGCAGCTTACATTGGTGTGTACACGAATAGCTTACACAGTGTCGAAGGGACGGAGGCCAGTGCCGAGAGAGCAAATAAAGTTGGCTAGGTGCATAAAAGAGTTTGGCTAATTGTTCATTGGCATAGCGAGATTCGATTGGAGACCTAAAGGAGGATTCCACGACAATGTCGGAACTCAAACAAGGGGAAATGTACTTACCATTAGCCGAAAGGCATGCGGGTCCTCTAAGAGAATCCGTGGTAGGTAACCTTTCGCTACCTCACTCTAGCCGTTTACCGAGAAAAAGTCAGCGCTGAAAGCTTGGCGGCACCGATGGTAGTCGCATAAATATGAAAACAGACGGCGGAGAAGGGATCTCATTTTTTGGGTTCTGGTTTCTCATGGTTTTCTTTATCCCTGAATCACTGACCACCTTATTTTCATAGT